GCATTTTTTTTTCTATCGGTCATGAATTTGAGGTCAGTTTTATCATATAATGATTTCATCATCGTAGATCTACAAATATCCTATCATCTCCTTTAACGTTGAGGCATTTCGATCTACGTCGTTTGTCATTGGATAGAGCTATCTTCGGGATATATCATTTCTATCGTTAAGAGGGTCGTCTTCACCATTGGATTCTTTCAACGGTCACTGTGAACACTACGAACCTTGAGTTCTTCCCTTCGTCGGAATGTTATCGATTCGATCATCGAAGATGTTGTGCATGTAAGGCCATAAACAAGGCTCAATCGGGCTGCTGTAATACACGATGGTGGCTGAGAGGGTGGTTGGATGGTGGATGGTCAAGGAAAAGGCTAAGGGGTTCATGGGGATGTTGTAGGATACACTATTGGGCCCGAGGGGCATGGGGTTGGGGATAAGGTCCGATGGTGAATTGTGGGTGCATTGTAGAGGTCACTAATGGAGTCTAAAAGGGTGTTGGTTGATGGTGGGCTTAGGGTTTCAATTATAAACCCTAAACTCTTTGGTGTCCAAACCCTAGAGGATTCTAATAATGTAGGACACTCCATCCAACAAAAATCTAATATAAGGATATTCGTTTATTAATAAAACAATAGTATTTGAAATCATCTGATAAAAAAATCCATTCAGTTTACAAATATGATAAACATATGTACATTCGTATATACAATGTCCACTTCAAATATTTATTTGATATTTTAAAACCTTTACGATACTATTAATAAAAAAAATTCGTAATAATATTCAATAACATTATCAAAAATTGGATTTTATGAAAAAAATCAATTGAATATCTTAAACTTAAAAAAACTCTTTCAATATCAATTAAAATAATAATTAATCAAGAAAAATCTTATTTGATTGGTCATATTCAAATTTTGAAATTCGAAGTTTTATAACAAACGAGTAGTTTTATAAAATCAAATCAAATAAATGAAGCTATGAGATATAAAGCAATACTCTTATCACATTCATGTTTGGTAAAGGAATTGTTGTTATTTTTTAAGGTATCGAGTTCGAGCATTAATAATGTCAGGGGTATGAACGTTCAATGTCTAATGGTTGAGAATTGGTTTTGAACAGATATTATATTGTATTTAACACAGATTAATAAAAAAATTTATTTGTGTAGATGCAATCACTATTTTTATCCCGGTAACTATGAAAATTAGAAACACGTATACTAATTAAGTAGATCCTTATATATTGCAATTCATCCTTGAAATATTTTAATGCCGAAAGCATATGAAAATTACAAAAATCTCATATTCTAGGCCAACCTACGTTTCCAGCAAAATTTAAACAAATTACGTAAAAAAATTGTTTATACAATAATCACAAGAATCTTAATAATTTAACAATAAATATTTATATTTTTACATATACAGTATTCGAACTCATAACCTAAAACGATAATAACAAATCCCATATACTATACCTATATCTCTAGAGGTCGGACTAATTGGCCCATAAGGTCTCGGGTTCTTTTGGTACATGTTGGATCTTGCATTGAAGATATATATTTAAACCTTCCTGACTTGAAATATGATTTAATAATTAAAATTTATTTTATATATTTAAATTCAGTTATAGATAAGAATATATAATTATATATTTGATATTATATAAAATTCATGTTTATGAGTCAGCCCAAGCAGACCTTAGACATAAAACTTTTTACAAAATTCTTAATATATGATCTGATTTAATTTATAAGTACGCTTATTTGTTCATTTTCGTCTGGGGTTTATTTAGTATATATATTAATATTATATTTTATCTTTTTATTTATTTTAAATAGATGTTAGTATTTTAATTAGGATTTATGATATTATTTTAAATATTATTTTATTTTATCTTTGTTTTAGGTATTTTTGTTTAAATAGTTTTAAGTGTTTTAATTAGGATAAAAGATGTTATTTTAGAATTATCTTTAGCTTGTTTTTAGGAATTTGAAGGCTATAAATATCCTCTCAGGATAAGCCTAGACACAACTCGCATCTGAGAATAAAATCTACTTTTTCTCCCTAACTTTCTCTCTATTTTTCGTACACTTCTTTATTTTCTTTTTAAATTTCGTTTTCAACAATTATGCTAAGTATGACTTTGGTCATACTTAGCTAATTTTCTTTTAAGCTGAAGGCTAAAGCGAATGCTCAATCCCAAATGTGAGAATTGAAACTGAGATCAGAACCAGTTATTGTTAAGACAACATAATTCGAGTCGACAATGAAGAATTATCCTTGTAAGCCGACGTGAACTTTGAAGTAAAGATTTTTTTCGAAGATCTGAGGAATTTGAGATAAAGCTGAAGTCTTAAGCTACTTTCACTATAAGTTTCTCTTTATCTCAATCTCTTTAGATTATTTATTCAATTATTTTCTTTTATTTTAAAAACAACTTTTAAAAACCCTTTTTATATTTTCTACTATTATTTATTATTTTATTATATTTTCTTTTATTTATTATTATTTTATTTATTTATTTATTTATTTATTTATTTATTTTCTCACTTCTTTTTTATTTTATTTTGTGTTATTTTTATTCTCTTTCACCATTTTTATATTTTATTATTTTTTTCTAAAATTTATATTTTTCTTCATTTATTTTATTTTTTAAACATTTTTTATATAACATTTTTTTAAATTTAATATTTCCTTCTTTGATTTATTTTTTAATTTAATTTTTATTTGATAATTCTTTTATTTTATAATCTAATGTTTTCAACTTTTTAGAGGTAACTTTAATCAATCAAAGGTAAATAATTTGAATCGAGTCTCTAAATTTTAATTTTAATTTTAATTTACGTAATTAAGACAACCGACAAATTAAATGGTACCGAAAGGGTAGTTCAAGGGTGCTAATCCTTCCTTGACTGTAACTGACTCTCGAATCCGACATATTTCTGGTAAAAAAACAGATCAGGTAAGATGATATTCGATAAACCAAATATTTTACGAAAAATAAATGATCGGTGGCGACTCTAACGTTCTTATTTAAGTCAAAGCTCAATTTCGGGCCCACCCGAAAGACGGCTGCGACAACTTGGCGACTTCGCTGAGGACATGTAAGTGAGTCAGGCCATAATTAATTTCCGGTTATCTTTTTAAGTGAAAATAACAAGTTTAAGTTTTAATTTATTTATTCGATTCTTATTATTTATCTTTGATTATTTTTTCAAATAAATAGTTGTACTGACTTTGTTTTTAAATAATTTCAGATTTTTAAAATTTTCATCTCTGGCTTTATACCCGAGCTCCAAACCCTTCTTAAGTGGAGGTAAAAGTGTAATTTTTGTGGGAATTTATTCTCCGTATAAGCCTAGAAAGTAACATTCGGGATTCATATACCTTATGTTTTCGTGTGAATTTATTCTCCGTATGGACATAAGGGAATGTATCCTCTCGAGTTTAACTTGGTCCACATAAGCTTGTAATGAGCTTAGAACTGAGGGTCTAGCAAGCCCAAAGGGGCACCAGCAAGGAAAACTCGGGTACCTTCTTTAGAACTTAAATCGGGAGACTACAGGGAATTAGAGCCCTCCTCGAAACCCCATTTCAAAACCTAGGTTGTCTTGAATTATTTCCTGTTTTACCTTTTGTTCAAAGCATGCGAATTAGAAAGATATATGGTTAGAACTTGTCTAAAATTAACATGAGGGATAGAGATCATGTCCGGGTAGGAATAATAAACATGTGGGGTAGATATCATGTAGGGTAGAACTTTTATTTTCATTATTATTTTATTTATTATCTTTATCTCACTAACTTTTTTTTCTCTCTTTTCATTTTTGTCTTCTTTTACTTTGTTTTTATTATTATTTACATCGTTCAAAAGATATGTTGATCCACAAAAACGTGTTTGTTAAACATAAATAATTTACATTAATGGATAAAGGGGTTGTAATACAAGAGGTGAAAAACGCAGAGGTCCGACTATGGTCAGAAAAGACTCAGAAGGAAAGGGAGACAATCTACAGGGCAACCATGTGTCACATTCAATCAAGAAGACGTTGTGCCCACAATCAAAGAATATACCACTCTACAACATTGTGAAGGAATCAGAATGGACCAGGCTTACACCAAGTCATCAAAGTTAACTTTTAAAAAATGAGTTGACAAAGGTTGCAGGGGCAGATGAGAAAAAGGTTACTACCATAGAGATGTCCCTTCAAAGACAACGAAAACAGGATGGCAAAACAATAGCTGAAATTGGAGGCCGTTGTTGACAAATTCAAGAAACAAGCAAATGAACTTCAGATAGTTCCTATCGATGGAGGGCTCTAATGGTGTTTCCGTTAGGGAGTAGACTCAGTAGAGAGTGAAAGCCAGAGATGATCTCATTAGAGACTTCTTGGAACAAGTACAAAAAGTAACTCAATACTTGCACGGTTTAGCAAGGGAAGTGGGAGTGGTCCGACAAGGCATTCAACCAGGGACAGAGGAAGGAAAAAGACTTATCAACCTATTAGAAGTTGTTCAGGGTTTAGAGGATTTAGTCAGAACGTACCTTTAAGATATTTTTGTCTCCTAATAAATAAAACACTTTTTTCTCAATAAAGATTATTTATAATAACATACGCGTTTCTGGATCAATACCTCTAAATTCTCATGCATCATGCATTATTTTCATACCTTTCATTTCATTTTTTTTTCATTTTTCATGTTTTTACATTCACATTAACTAACAGAAAATGTCTCATGAGAAGAGGGAACAAACACCGGGTAAACCTCTATTCTTGTTCAAGAATTCAATGGGGTGTGTTCTAGGTCAGCATGATGAATCCGGGAAGAAGGAAATGGCCATTTACTACCTAAGCAAGAAGTTCACTGATTGTGAGGTCAGATATCCTCCCATCGAAAAGCCCATGGCAGATACTGTTATCCGAATTTTACATCGAGTACGTGAGTCAAAAAGCTATAAAGGGAAGTGTCATATCATATTTCTTGGCAAGCAGAACTGCTGAAAATTACGAGCCACTAAACTTTAACTTCCCAGATGAAGATTAGCATGGCCCCTGCATAAGGATGACACGTACAAATCGAGAAATGGTCCAAATTTTTTCTCCACTAGATTAGGGAGTATTCCTTTTCCTTCTCTTTGTTTTTAAATTCGACATACGTTTTGGGACAAAATGGATTAAGTGAGGGGGAAAGATAAGCATGTCGTCAAATTTTTCCTTGACTTGTTTGAAATTGAGTTATTATGATATTGATGTATTGGGATTGTTGGTTGCCAGTCTTGAACTTCACTTTATACTCTTGCTTCCTTTTGGATTGTGATCATGTTTTGATCGAATTTAATTTGCATGATTGGTGATTAGTATAGCTGGTGAATTTTTTGTTGAGTATTGATATTTCATGCTTTTTTCGATAGAGATGAACTTGACTCAGTGCATATAAACTTTTCTTGTTAGATTTGAGCCTAACAAGCATACAATTTATTTCTTGCTCATTATTTGACTTGAGTGTGCCAGACTAATTAGGATATTCTAGAACTTGTAATCACAATGCATATTGAGACAACATGTTGAACGTAATGTTTTAATGTGATAGGGGCACCTAGGATAAACCTACTTTTCCCAAAATGCCTACCTGTTTACATATCCACTAGTGAATCACATTTGAGTCTATTTCCCTTTCTTTGTTTTATACTTCATAATTAAACCCAAAGCCTTTCGTTTTTATTTTTCCCTCTTTTCACACCCTTACTGAGACTTGAGATCTTGTATCACTCTTGTTCCATGAAAAAATTGTTATTTCAACAAAACTATATAACAAACAAATTGTACATTATTTCAAACATCAAAAAAATTGAAAAAAAGGAACAAATTCGAACATCAAAAAAAAAGGGGTGGAAGAATTGATTGTTTCTATTGTGTAACCCCCTCATAACGATACGGGTAACCCGATCTGATCCGGGGTGTCACATTAGGGCCACCGGAGCGACCCGCCAAAAAAAATCTCGGAAAAATTAAAACTTTAATCAAAATATGTAACTTATAAAATGATTTATCAGTATTCAGAAATAAAATAGATTTTCAGACTCGTATCTAAAAAATACAAATGCATGCCCCCTAATCACAAGTATCATACTCTGCAAGCATCGCCGGAAGAACTCCCTTACTGATGTCGATAGATGAACTGTTATGATTCTTTTAACCTGAAAAGGTGAGTAACAGAGTGAGCTTTGGAAAGCACAGGAATACAGAACTACCAGGTGATGCTGAAGAACATGTAAATAACATATAAGCATATATTTCCTTATTGGTTCATACATCTATAGATTTTTAGGCTGAGCGGAGATTCTAATGATATTTCATGTAGTAATAGAAAATAAGCATTCAATTCAAGGAAATATTTCGAATGACTAAGTTCAGGAGATCAAAATAGTTTATCTAGTGTGTTCCTGCAAAACCAGTGAAAAGATAGAGATCGTTTATTTTAAAATAGTATCAATTCAAAACATATTTTTATTCAAAAACCAAAGTAATCCCTTCAACCGCATAACCATAATGTGTAGGTTCCCCATAACCATACACCCCGTACAACCAGTAAGGCCTTGAGCACAAAGCGAGGAACCTGCAAATATACTTCCTCCAACATTACCCCCCAAATAAAACATTTTCCGTCAGTAAACAGAGATTTCAGAAAACAAAACATAATTCATATCAGATATCATAACAGAATCCATTTCAAAAATCAGAACATAATTCAGACCAGGTATAAGAACAGAATCCAGGCCAGGTATCATAACAGAATTCAAATCTAAAATCAGATAAAACATTCATGGGATTAGGGAACACACTAGAGTTTCCAGATATTATTCTGAGATATTGAATAATCTTATCAGGCAGAGAAACACGGATCTTCAGTATACCGATAGAATGTCATAATTTAGAATCACTATTGGAAGAGTTTATTAACTGAAGGAATCATCAGTTATTCATAATGTGATTTGAGCTGATAAGGAAGAAACAAAGATTTAGGACATTTACACTCTATGTTGATCGATCAGATTATGAAACAACTCAAGTTGAACAAGTCTTAGAACTGATGTATGTCGACTGATCAATTCATTGCCCTTCCAGGGTATTCACTCTTTAATACAAAAAATTCTTGTCCATAGATCATCTTCAAAATCATCACTGAATAAATCTTAAGGAGTCTACCAGATATTCCAATGGTCTCTATTTCGTTTCCTCATTGCAACAACATCAAGAATTGTTGACGTACTTAATTCCTTGTTCATAACCCTTAGAGACAGTACATCATGCAAGTTCATTAGTGTTCCCATACTCATCCAAATCACTTACTAAACCCTCAGTCATTAAGGTTACTTAGTTCATTTAGTAGTCAATTCTATTCCGGCTACTTCAGAGCCTTCCCGAGTAATTCAGACGCTTCTGAGTTTCGGAAACATGTTGTACTTCTGTTCATTTCACTTTGGTCATATAATAAAGTTATTTTGGTATTTGTGGTTGATTTATCTCACCAATATCCACTTCTTAATATCGAATGAGCTCAGCTGTGGAGCTGAGCTGAGTACTTCCAGAATTATCATCGATTGAAACTTGAGGTGACGAACGAGTATTCAAGTGGTATATATGCCATACAGGTATTGACATAGCATTAGGGTTGATCGACTCACTTAAGTTATGTTCTATAACTTTTAAGGGTAGTATAACACCTATGTTTATTTGGATTCCTTAATTAATCCAAGACATTTACTTATTCTAGGTCATAAGGGTATTTTGGTTGGTGCCCAGTGTTATTCCAGTTATTTGAAAGTTAGAGGATATACAATCATTCCTGGGCTTGGTGTTATTCTGGGGTCATTTCTATTCCAGGGGTAATTTGGTCATTTTACATATCTAAGGTATTTTAATCTTTTCCTTCCGTCTAATCTTTTCCTTCCGTCTAATCTTTTCCTTCCGTCCGATCTTATTATTTAATTCAAATTTATCATCTATTCCAGTCTTTTCAAATAATCCTGACAAAAGAGTACCATCGATAAATTATTCTTCGGGTATTTACTCATAACTCGGAGATTTACGGATTATCAAGAATTTTCTGTATAAACGTGTGAACTTAACGATGAAAATAGTAATTCATCGATTTATGCATGACTTTTTGAGTACTTTTCCATTCAAGGTCAATTCGGCTACTTTTTCCTCTCAAGAGTAGTTTCGTAATTTTTTAGCCATATAATTTCGGTATTAAAACTCTTAACAAAGATAAATATAATTTAGAGATCCTAAGGTTAATTGTCTTTCTGAATAATCTCTGAACTTGAGATTATTCCTTCTCAAACTTCTAATTTCTTGTACAAGTCATCAGAATTTTATTCAGTTACCGAATTTTTACCGTATTTGGATCGAGTGTAGGAATGAATTAACTACTCATATAAGACCAAAAATTTCATTATTCATGCATTTATCAATATTAACATGTTCCATAAAGCATAAAGATGTAGTAATGTATTACCTCGATTTCTGTGCCATACTAATCGACCATTTAAACTCCATTCAAACACCCTCATTCTTGAAATCAAAGTTCAATAATTTCTCAAATACATAACAACAGAAATTTCATAAAAATGGAGCTTAATTGCGAAAAACGTATCGAATCAGTTCGTAAATTAGTGAAAAACAACTTACCGGGTTCGAATTTTGCACAACAGACTTCGAAATCGGGCTCAGGACGTTGAAAAACAAAAAATATGACTTTTCGAAAATTTAACTTTTTGGTCAAAGTCAACGGTCAGCGGGTCGATTCGATCAAAGTCAACGAGTTGACCGAGTGAGTTGACTCAGCCGAGTTAACACAGCGCGGGTTGACTCAGTCGGGTCAAGCAGGTCGGGCAGGCCCATTCCAAGCAATCCACCAGGGAGTGGACTTTCCTCACTCTCAGTAGTGGCGTGTGGGGGCGCGTGCAGGGCTGTAGAGGGTTGAAAAAATTCCACAAAATTTTTAAAATTATTTTACGGGATTTTGAGACACTTACCTAGCTCGTTTCACAATTTTAAACAGTAGAGCGCTTGATTTTAAAACGTCAGAAAGTTTAGCTTCCCCACCCCCTCACGTGCCGGCGACGGCGGAGACAAGAAGAACACCGGTGGACTCGAAACGATGCAAGGAACACGATGGTGTGGGTTCAAAAACGGAGCAACGATCGACGACGAATCGACAATTTTCACAGCGGTGGAGTTTAAAAACTTTGAAACTTTTAGTTGAAATTTACAGCGAACGACGACGATTCTCGATGAGAAGTTTAAGGAGTTTTGTTCACCGGTCAACAACAAACACGATGGTGGTTTCAGATCAACGAACGATGGCCGGACGGTGGAGAAATCAAAGCTCAAAGGAGTTCACGGGAAGGAGGAAATGGGGAAGCATTCTGGGAAAAAAGATGGGGTAGGGGGTTTATAATTCTCACTTAAAGAAAAATAGGTAAATTATGAGTTTGGTCCCCAAATTCCTACACTTTTCTAAAGTTGACTACCAGTTTCAAAAACTTATAATTTACCCCTAAATTAGGGTGTTACAATTCTCCCCTCCTTAAAAGAATTTCGTCCTCGAAATTCATTCATTTCACATAATTGCATAAATGAAACTTTCATCAGTTCTTTCATATCTTCATGTAGCTTTTACAAAAATATTGTTCCTCTATATATCTTTAACCAGTTGAGTATACATTTTTTTTCAGAACTCTCCCTCATTCCAATAAAATTATCAAAACAAATTCATCCTTGTGGAATCAATTCAGCCCTGGTTACGAGAATAGGCTCATAGAGCGATAACATATCCCAATTTCATTTCTGGAGTTGGATCAAAATTTCTCAGATAAGTAACTCTCACATGGCTCGTGAGGTACTTTACAGAGTTTAGATATACGTTACTGGTATTCCTTTATGCAAATGTAGAGCCTTAATGGATAAAAACTTAGGTTTGCTCAATACAGATAGGGACTCAACCTTGGAGTTCCGACTCAGAGAAGTACAATTGTAGTCAAGGGGCATGTACTGATCAGACATCTTTTGACATTCGACCGACCAGTCTAT